CATGAGAGTTCATCTTACTCCTTCTGATGCATATGACAGATCTCTTTTGAGTACCATGCCTGGCCTTCAATCTGCCAGCAACTGCTTTGTGAGAGTCTTGTTTTTATCAGCTCATCACATCCCCCTTGTTCAAACAATGTTACACAGATTCAACATCAAACTGACAAGAAGCACCTTGCTGTAACTGTACCTTTGATGTTTTTGGTTTTGTCCTTGGTTTTGTGCTCCCCACCACCACCCTGCTCTAGATTACTTTAGGTAATAACGAGCTTGACTTTTGATGCTCCAGTCTTTGAAGTACTGAACTTTTGCATGCAAATGGCCAGGTTTCACTGCAGCAGAAAATAAGACTTTGTATTTTTTGATGATTGTTTGAACTGAATCTATTCAACATGTCTGCATAAGGCTGACTAAAGAGGTGCATTACTTTTACATCAGATAAATCTCCCACAGACCATTTTCTATGCTTCCTGGAATTTATCTTCTATGAAATTTTAAGTGCCAGTGTTGGAGTTGGCTGAATGTTACTTGCCAGCTGACATTAATTTTGCTCTTCTCTAATTCACAACCACTCACAAATATTTCTCACTTTTGAGGAACACATCCCTGCATGCTTTTGCCAAACTCTTTGGTGGCCCATTTCACAGATGTCAGTTGCTCGTGAAAAAAACAAAAAAAAACAGCTATTGACAATGTGCACACTTTTCATCCAGTGCCTTTTTTGATGAGTGGGTGGCTGAAATTTTCATGGAAAAGCAAGAGAATGCATTTCCATGATGAGTCTTCTGGGATGTGCAATATCTCCACGACTGTTCTACCATTGTAGAAATATTAAAGACTGACAAATAATATAGCCACTATAGTCTTCAAGAATGTTGGATTAGAATGATTCATTACTGTATTTACAAGATTTCTCTTTTTCCCTATATTGCCAGCCCCAACCACTATTTCCCACAGCAATGGTGGCTAAAAAGACAGCAGCAGTTTCATGCTAATGGCCAATGCTCAATTCTTCCACCTGCAGCTTATATGCAGTGAAGAGGCTGCATCGTATGCTTTTTAGATGAGAGTATCATTACCCATGACTTGAGGTATCTCCAGTTTGGCCTATAGCAAACGTCCATACTCCTCCTGCCTGCCCTTCTGAGCAAGCTATGGACAGCACATTAACCACTACTGTGAAGTTCCTGCTGGCTTCCCACCCGGTGAAACTACAAACATTTTAAGCTCTTGTTCCTAACCTAAGAAAAACACTTTTAGTTACTGGGACCTAAAAACAACCCCCCTCGACTGCCACAAAAAACAGGCCTTGAGGATACTGAAACTGTCGGCAGCTTATCAAGAAAAATTCCCAAGTGCCTAAGGGCTGAACATTTTTAGCTGGCAGACTTGAAATTTAGGACATAATATCAGGAGGGATTGGTGTGAGTTTAAATATACCCAGGAAGATAGTCATGACCCAACTCTCCTCATACTGCACAGGTATCTGTAAGGATGAGTGCAGAACACAAAATTGAGCTCACAAAAGGACCGCGGAAGTCCTAAAAACACACCGGAATAAGCACCAAGAACTAAGCACTGTGGTGGGTAGTGTGCTATCAAAAAGGAGGGGCTTGAACCTGGGATCAGGAGAGGGGACTTGAACCTGAGTGCATCAGATAGCGGGCACAGCTGAGCAAACATTTAGCTGAAGCCACTGAGGATCTGTAGGCCTCCACTACACAGAGGGTGAACATGATTTATCAGAACTAGAGACAACTGACAGCACAAGTTGGTCAGAAGCCACAAATCCTAACTTATGTCCACACAAAATGGAGCTTGCCACCCTTACTCCAGCCCGAGAGCTACAGCCCTGCACTCCCAGTCTGGTCAGGTTCTCTATAGACAAACAGAGGCATATGTGTAATATAATATGTGTAGTCCCCTTACTTACAGCACCTATGTCATTCACAGCAGGATGGGTGCCTGGCTACAACAAAGCTTTGGGTAGGTTACAGATCTCAGGCCCCAGCAAGAGTACATGTTAAAACCGGGTTTAGTGGTAGGAGTCCCACAGTATGAACATTTGTTACTATGAAGCTCAAGACAAAGCAACTATTCAGTGACTTTTATTTACTTATTTTAAAAGGATTTACAAAAGCGGCTGATAAGAACTAGCTGTACTTCACTACTGAAGACAACTGAGAAATAAGACACCCTTTATTTTTGTCCAAAACACCTTCTTCAATTGCCTTATTTTTTATTTTGCCCCCCCTCCCCCCCGGGTAGAGCTGCTGAGAAGTCTGAATATTAGAGGTAGTGGTGACCCCTGAAAAATCCTGTCAGCACAGCAGGCATTAAGCATTTCTGAAAATGTTATCAGAACACAGAAAGGCAGTAGTAGAGTCAAACACTGTAAATCTCAAAGATGTTTCTCTTTCTGAACAAGTGTAAATAGGAGCAAACAAGTCAAGATACACCACGTAGCTTCTTTGTTCAACAAAAGTAACAAGAATAATTTGTATGTGGAAAACTTCTGAGCAAAAAGGCATATGTTGGCATGACGATAAATTGAAAAGCTATTGCATAGAAATACAACAAGAACAACACCAGGGGATTATTAAGAGGGCAGTACTCCAGATTGTCAAATGTGGTTTGTCAGAAATATGAACAAATAACACTTTCTCTAGCTTAGTTGAACTTGCAACACTGACCCTCAAAGCTAGTAATAAAATTTTCCAAAGAACAGGAACAAATAGAAGTTGCTTTGTTGTATTCTTATTTTTCCAACTTTTTAGGAATATCTTAAGCCTAGAAAAAAAAAAATAGCATTTTTGGTAAATAGATTTTATTTCATTTGCATTCTTTGTTACCCTTAGAACATTCTTTTAATCACCTTACAACTTCATTTTTTTTCCTTCATCCTTCTGTTTCTTTTCATTTTTATGTGTTTCAAAATAAAAATTTAAAAACAAGATAATTGGGGAAAGTGGATAATGGCTTTCTGCTTTCAAGAACAGGGATAAAAGTTGTAAGAGGGGATCCAAAAATAAACACATACTGAGAAGATCAAGAACTCAGAATCTAACAGCTGAATTTACCCCACTGGCACATATGTAAGCTGCTTTGCATAAATCAGATGCATTATAGAGTTTGGGATAAGATACTCAACTGAAAAGTTACTTTAAAAAAAGTAAAATACACACAGCTTACTGAAGTCATGAAGGACTAGAATGCAGCTTTGCAGCTTTTATTTTTAATAATACTAATTTATATTTCAAGTTTTGTTGCAAACAAATATTTTTAGAATCAGTTAGACAAAGAGGTTTGAGCTACCTGAAGATTAATATTTTGGTCGCTAAGGACATTTAACTGAAAACATCTACTACTATTCTACAGGAAATGTAATTTTTTCTGCTAGAAACAGAGGGAAACATTTCAGAAGGATTGCTTTTATGACCTTCACTGTCCTGGAGGATGAAATGATCATTCATCCAACTGTATTCTTGCTTTTGCCAGCAAAAATTACACTGCCCTGATTAGGTTTTCCATGTAAATGAATGAAGTCTTTCAGGAGCTCAGGTTTTTCAGGTTTCCCTCAATAGTCAGCCCTGCTAAAATGGGGCATTTCCTTTTAGTGCATAGTTTCCTACCAGTAGCCAGGACTAGCGATAGACACAGCTGTGTCAAGAGATGGAAAAGCAGAAACAACTACAGAGAACATTAAATGTGATGATTCGTTTTCTTTGTTTTTAATAAATTTTAACATCATCATTCCTACCTCTGTACCGTAAAGTTCAATCCTAGCACATCTGCACCGTGGTACTGCAGCTGACCACCACTGATCTGAATTTGAAATACAAGCAGCTACTGAACGTTACTCAGACGTGCAAGTCACACCAAGCCTTGTGTTACTTCAGCTACAGGTCACAAGAAATACATTCACCCTGGCTTAAGCCATCAGAGGCATCTCTCCTCTCTGATGTGTTGCAGGAGTATCCGTACTGAGGAAGCAAGGCCTGCTAAAATTTCAAGGTGGTAGGTTAAGGGGATCGTTCAGCAGACTATCCCGTGGTGACAATGAAAGTGAGACCTTTTGCAGAAAAGGTGTTTAAAAAAATAGTACTTTAAATTTCAGTGATTTTTCTGCCCAGGAAAAGAAAATGCAAGTATTTTAGCGTAATACTTAATCAACAACGTTCAAAAGAACAAGAGTTAAAGTTAAATCTAAGAGTATGTACTTTGCATTTTATTTGAAATCCTACTTTTTTCTTCTTCCAAAGAGCTCCCTTTCCCTTGTTGCCAGGGCTTGTGTTTTCCCTCAGGCTTGTCATAATCCTCAATTCCTTACAGTTTTGCATTTTTCTCCTCTAAGGCCTTTCTTCTGTCAGCTCAGAAAGACCTTTCATTTCATGTTCTTTTTTTTTTTTTTGGCCTCTTTTTCCTCTCAGGCCCTCTCTCTTCTATACTCATATTTACTACATGTGACCATGTTTTACATTTCCTCACTATTACTTTCCTAGGGTTTCTTTAATCCAGTGCATCACATTTTACAAGAAATACGTCCATGTTGCTTACTTCTCTCCCTCAGGCACCCTTCCTCACCTTTCGTATCTTTGACTAGTCATTGCTTCTCTTTCTTTCAAGCTATTTTCTCTTCAGTCTTACATCACCTTCCTCTGCTGCTATCACTATCAAACTAGTTAATTGTTTCTGTGGGTAGTGGGGCAGCACTTAAGTTAGCATATATTCAGACTGTTGCTGCCCTCCCATAGCGAGGGCTGACTAACATTAAGGCCCAAGAATTGTTGTCTCAATTGATGTTGTCTCAACTGATGTTTGAGACAGAAAAAAACATCAGTGTAGATGCAACCTGCTCTTGGAGTTCTAAGAAATTGGGGACTGAAACATTTCATCAGTACTAATCTTGCACTGATCTTTAAAACAGCTGCAGTTAAAGAATTCTAATTCTGACTGATGCAGCCTGGATCACTAAATTATTTATTTATTTATTTATTTGCTTCAAAAGCCTAACCTCAGCCCTGTAAGGAGTCACCAGCTATGGCTTAAAGCAGTGTGATAGCAGTCATAGTTTATAACCAGGCAAGGGAGCAGCAGGTGCAAAAATCAGGCATTTCTGTCACTTGGCAGAGCAAAGCTGTCAGGTCAGTATCCCTAAGAGTTGAATGAGAAAAACTGGAAAATCAACTTCTACAGGTAGAGCTAACAAATGTTATTGGGACATAAGAAACCCATTAGTCACAGAGAATTTCAAGAACTCAAAGGTGCCATTAATAAAAACGTAACTACTATTCCCAAACTATTTTATCTGGCAGGTATGCATACATTTTCCTTTACCTATGATTATCCAAATAAATCAGTGCGCAAGCACACATTAGATGGGACATTCTCTCGAGAGCATGGAAGGAGGTTTTCAACCTCTGACTTCCCAGGCCAGGGGAGATATAGGGGGCAGTCACAATTAGCTTGGAGCTGCTGGTCTCAGCTCAGTTGGGCAAGAGAAGAGAAGGAGATAATATCAAGCACTGGCAGTGCAGCTCTTTAGACAACAGTAGTCAGTAACGTAAGTTTTTAAAAGCCAGTTCTGGAGCTGGCTATGATATTAATATTTGGTCCTAGTGAAACAGACTGAGCTTTCTCCAGGACAGTTGTATGCAAAGCTGTTTTTCTGGGCTGAAGCTGCTGTCCTGGTCTAATTATTGTAACAATTCCATATTCCCCTGATTTGTGCAATTACCTTGGGTTTGTGGTTTTGCAGAGAAGACTGCTATTAAAACAAAATCAAGCCAGTTATTGGTAGCAATAGTGCTTGCATTACTTCAGCACCTCTGAAACCTAGTCATGGCTCAAGATTCTGGTGTCCTGAGGCTATGCTGAGGAGGATGAAGGCAAGTAATGAGTACACATCGTATGTCACAAGATGGAAGCACTGCAACTTTCTCCACTTTAGCAGTATGACTCGGCATTTCACATTTGGTTCTTTGTGACAACCTGGTATCCTGTTGCCCACTGAACACTGGCCTTGGGGCCAACCCACAGTGACAAAATACAATTCATCTGTTCAGATATGAAACCACCTTCCTCAGAGCAGGGTCTGTTGTGGCGAAAGGGAAGTAACTATTGTAGGTACTCACATGGTTCCCATAAGAGCGATACTGAAACACCTGACTGTCCCTCATGGACTCTTCATTGTGATGTCCCTGTGCAGAGTTGAAGCCTAGGATCCAAGAGACCTTCTGGTCGAATAATCTTTCCCAAGGTGACAGAAAACCCTGTGGTAAAGCACAAAAACAACTCAGATTTTCCTAGTAACATCAAGGCTTAGAGATCACTTTCTCTGAACAACTTTTCCTCACATCACACTAGTTTGACATGCTTATGAGAAGTTAAGATGCAAGAGTTCAGACAACATATGTAATTTTTCCTTTTAAAAACGCCATTGCAAGGTAATTTTTTTTTTGTAACTTCTTTTGTTTTAAAATATACTAGGAAGTTTTAGGCTTTTGAGGGAAAAAACATCAAAGCCCCTGAACACCACAAAGTTTTGTAGCTTTAGTGCAGGACTGGAAACCACCAATGGAAAGTCCTAAGGCCCTTCCATTATCTTAATCATGTTTCATCTAAAATAGTTACACCATTTCTCAAGCAGCTGCTATGTAATCATAATTGTACTTGCACTGCTTTTCCCCCATGTGTTTTATAAAGTGAGCAAAATTTTATTAACCACATTTGAGGAGAAGCTCTCCCTACACGTACATTTTTCCATTCAACCCAAATAAATTTTCCTCCTCCTTCTCGATTCTACCCTCTTCTTTGTTCAGCTCCACTGGTGTTTACTCACTTTCCCCACCCACATTCTCCTCCATCTTTTTTTTTTTTTTTTTTTTTTTTTTGCAGTCTCTAGAAAATAGAAACTTTATAAATTAAAGTTTAGGTGAACTCATTCCGTGGTTCAAGGAAATAATAGTTCTGAATGAAACAGTTCAATGTCTTATTTTGAACTAAACACAAGAGCCATGATTTTAATGCTACCCATTTATCCCTCTAACAGTTCACTCCAAAAGGTAACTGCGACGGTTCTCTTAGAAAGGAGTACTCCATGAAGGTACTGTGGTTGCATATTCATTGGGGAGCACCTAAAAAAGCCACTACCGCAATTATGTATCATTGGTTGTGTGTTCAAGATTAAGCTAAAACACTGTTTAAACCTTTTGGATTACATTCTGTTATCTTTGTCTATATACTAAGAAGATTTCAAATCTGCACGCCACCCCTTAACTCTAACAATAGATTAGCATAAAAACCTGTAAGATTATAAGTCAAATGTATCACAGATACATCAATGTGAATCTGCCATGCAGTAGAACATAATGAAATTGTAAGCATGTAACTTAATATCCAAAATTTATGAGTATATTGTATATATATCTTGTAGGCTTCTAAAAAAATTCTTTCTAAAAATCTACTCACTAAATGAAAGACAAGATTACTGAAGTGTAATCTTACCCTTCCCCCCCCCAATATACAAACAAAAAATGAAGTAGCTATAAGATAAAGTCAGGAGTCCTTGCTGCCATTTCAACAGTGAACACTGCAAAGCCAAAAAGTGTGTTTTAATATTTTGTACAACCAACATCCAACTTTAAGCAGCTGTCCTATGAAATTGTAGACAAGGAGAACAAAGAGCATGAACTTTCTCATCAATTTATGACCTGTCTCCAGTGCCATTTCTCTGCTTTTAAACCAAGAGGAACAGGCAGTTTTACAGACCATATTCACCTGCAGACAAGAGGTAGATAAGTTCATTCTTTCTTGTTAGTAGAACAAATGAGCATGTGAAGAACTTACCTTTTCCTCATTTTCTTGATTCCAGCTGCTCCACAGTCTTCAGCTTTGCACAACTTCCCCAGCCTGTGTGACCCCACAACAGAGCATTGAGTGATTCATTGTGGCAAACTTCCTTCTGTTCATCCTCAGTTTATGAGGCCAGGCTGGCTGAAGTGGATGACAAAAAAGAAAAAGGAAAAAAAACTAACAAGTGGAAGCATCCTCAGGAGAAACTACAACCATTATACGAAACAGTGGGTCTGATTAAGGCACGCTGTTCTCTCAGCATGTCAGCCAGTTACTTTAGTGACTATTGACTTTGGCTGTAGGTCACTAGGGTGCTAATGCCAGGCAAAGCAAAAGGCATCTTGTCCTTTGATAGGATTTAAGGGTAATCTTAGGAAGGAAGAGTGAGAACACTTATTAGCATTTGGGGGTGTGATTCTTAATCCAGCAGTGGTGCATGGCTGATACATTAACTGTTTCACTCACAGGAACGAATGGAAGAAGGTTCTGCCAAGAATCTGCCTTTCATTGACTGCGACCACAAAGTCTGAATCCCATTCTTAAATCAAAGCCATGGTAAATGCTGAGCCTGTGTGTTTCACAATGAGGGATTAATTCTTTCTTTATGCATAATCCTACCTGCCCACAGAGGAGACACTGCTGTAGAGAATCTTTAAAAGCCTAAGCAAATATACCTAGTATTTTATACAATACTTACAGAGAGACACAGAGGGAGAAATATTTCTGCATGCATTTTTCTCCTATTTAATCAACATCATCAGTAGCTAAACTAGGTCAGGTCAAAAGTAAGCCAGTAATGCTTTCTCCACTTCTTCCCCTTTATCATCAAATCCTAATACCATGTGTGGCATTGCTGCAGGAGCAGCCAAACTGCATGCTATATTTTACTCTTCTTCAAAGCACTGTAGTTCTGTTGACTACTGCAGCCTCTCGGACAGGAAGACATTCTTTGCCCCTGCAGGTTTACAATTTTACCATACTGAAGTATCTGCATAAGCAGCTCAGGCAAAAATCTTTAATTTGCAGCATTCTTTAGACTTCCATCATACACACCTATTTGCGTGTTGCAATAATACATCCAGGAAAGCAGACTTGCTGACCTACAGTCAGTCCAGTACAAGGATCAGAGGGAGATGTGTGGCACTGATGAGACTATCACTGCTGCAGTCATCCATATGAAGAACACGAGGAACATCTTTCACAAAATTCAGCTGCAGGTTTTCCCCCATGTCCTAGGGACAGAAAAAAAAAGAAAAAAAAAAAAAAAAAAGAAAACCAGCCTATTTTATTAGTGATTAAAATATATCACAAGCTTGCCCAATATACTCACTGAGTGGGCACAAAGGTTTTGAAGTTATTCCTTCCTGCAATAGCTATCAGATAACAGAGTAACTGGAAAGATATGATCCACAACAACGTTGAGTTAGAAGTCACATCCACATGCGAAGTTTTATTTAACCCTTTGGTTTGATTGCAAGTAGTCCTGACAACTTTTTGGCTTGTTGTCAGCTTGAGGTGGAGGTTGCAAGTAATTTTTTAAACTCCCTTGGCATAGGCAGCATACCTCTCTTGATTTAAATTGAAAAAATTGCTCTCGCTCTCTGGAGTCTTTACCAGCTTAACATCCTCCAAACTGGATCTGCCAGCAATAGCACTAAACAACAAAAAGGGCATTAAGCGAAGGCTCTGATGGCTCTTTTGAATTTGTTGTGAGATTCCCAACCCAAAACACATCCTGTTTAGGTGGGCTCTGTTCTTCTCATGGTGGACAAGTTGAACATAAACCAGTGGTGTACCCTTGCAGCAAAGAAGGCCAATGGTATTCTGGGCTGCATTAGAAAGAGCGCTACTAGCAAGTTGAGGGAGGTGATCCTTCTCCACTGCTTAGCATTGGTGAAGCCACACCTGAGTAACATATTGGTATTATCCCAAATGAGATACTCCCTGTTAGGGCCGATAACAACATTGCTTTTGGAAAAAGAGCTATTAGTATTTGCATCATGTCTTTATGGCAGTAGGATTTTTCCTATTTGACTTATAAGTTTAATTGTTAATTAGTCCATATGCCAGATATCTCATAAAAACAAGCCAAGACAATTCTTGGTTCAAGCAATCTGCATTCCTTAACAAGTGGGAATTGTTAGCAGGCAATAAACAAAATAAAAGAAACAGAAAATTTAAAGAGGGTAACACTGCCTATAAAAAGGCCAAAAGTTATCTATGCATATAGTCTGGTCCATGCAGACAGAACTATCTGCCTGTGCGAGTCCCGCAACAGTGAAGCTTCATTGCTGAGCTTTCTGCCGCATTTTTCTCTAACCTCTGCCTTTGAATTTAACAGAACATGTTATGAACACCAAAAGGCAACCCACTGTTGTTCACAAAGAACACAAACTCCATTTGGTAGTCCATTACCTAGGTAATCTGATTAGTCAAATTTGGCCAAAAAATAAGTAGAGCTGGCCACACCCCACCAGCTGTGCAACGTAAAAGGGACTAGCATGCTATTATGAGGGACCTGCAAAGACACATCACTTACAAGCAATCATAAAAAAGCTAAAGATTAAGATCCTTCAACCTTCTCATCTCTAGGACATTCAAGCCCCCAAAGATTTGAGTCAAAAGTTACCAACTGCAGGCAAGGACAAAAGCATTTACACACTGCTGCTTTTCCAGCAAGTCCTCTCACATGCACCATGTACAGCTTCTTTACTGATTAAGAGCCTCAGTCTCTCTGCATCGTATCTTGTTTTGGCTTGTACAGCGTAATATATTTTGCTTCATTTTCACAACTGATCTCAGTGACCTTTTCAGACAGATTTAGACCCGTCGTCTGATAATTTATGAATCCTGTAACCTGATCCGGGTGTCAAAACGTTTACTTGATTAATATATTGGCTGAAGGACCTTTAAAAACAGCAGAGAAGGGATAAAATGCTACAAGATGGCCACGTCATGACAATCTTCTGGGGCAATGGCATAACATTGAGAAGTTTTCTCTCCGCCTTTAAGCAACTTCACAAACTTGCTCTCGCCAAGGAAGGGAAAGGCCTGGAAATAAAGAGCTATAGGATAGCTCAGTGGAGGAACGTACAAGAGCAGGGCACATTTCAGGTGGAACAAGACATCTGCTGAGTGTGAGAGTCTGGCCTACCTCAGTCTCTAATGACAGGAGGCCCATAGGGTAACAGGTTAAGCCATGTGAAAAAAAAATATATATATCCTAACAGTTTGGCTTCCCACAATGTTTATAGCCTCCAAACCCCTTTATAATCACAGATCATTTTCTTCAGTACAACGTTATATGTCAAGAATTACAGTGATTTAGTAGGTAAGACACCTACCTTGCGGAAATGTACTATAGTTAAATTTAATAGTTGCTTAATTTTCTTCTCCAGCACAGATCGTATCTCAGACTTTTTCTTTACTTAGCTAGTACATATTTAGCAGCTGACTGCTTTAAAATACTGAGACCTTTTCAGCTGTGTCTCTCACTAGTATTACAGAAATACAGTATTCTCATTTCTTCGCTGCTACTTCTTCCCACATTGACAGGAAGTAAGACAGTCTTTTACTCTATTACATGTTCTTTAAATGTTCCATATCAATTGTTCCTTGGAAACCTTCATTGCCTTCAGAGGAGAAAAGCTATAAACATCTCTCAGCTGTAGCATGCAATACTTGAAAGCACATGCTGACCATTCTGATCTTTAGAGACCCAAGCCCCTCACAGTGCTGCCAGGATTCTCAAACACAGGCTCAAAACATTGAATTAATCAACATGAACATGGTAATTGCTCGACGCCAGAACTTTTGAATGAACATTTAAGTAGTATATCTCAGGATTTGTGTCATTTATTGCACAATGTTTTTTTGTTCCTCTGTCAGTCCACTCAGACTTGTCTATGTTACTTCTCACAAATGAGATGTAGAAAAAAAAAAAAAAAAGGGCCCAGTTTATTTTAATCAAATACTGTACCACCCAAGAACCGCAGCCGGGTAATTTGCAGTTTATTCTTAGGTCTGAAACCAGCTTACACTGACAGGAAAAGAAATTGAGAAGGTTATCTCCCACTGACCTGTCAGCTTCTTCCTCACAAAAGCACTGCAGCTTCAGGGTTGAGCAATCTTCAGACGTAAATCTTAACAGCTCTGTAAACATCTGCACGATGGTTCATCAATTACACTTCCATGCTATCTGTCACTATTGAAGTTTGGGGAGAAATTCCTGAGCAGATCCATTTGTTTGTTTTACTGCAAAATTACTTTTCTGGGAAAAAAAAAAAAAAAAAGTTTGCCTTTTTTCTTGGTACACACCTAGAAAGGGAATGAGGAAACATTGCCAGGTTGTTAACCTAGCAATTACCTAACCAGAGACATTTTTCTCCATTTTCAGTAGAATATTTTTTTTTAATTTCATTAGTTCCCTAAGACAACTTTCAGGTTTGTTGTCATTCAGTGCTTTGAAGCTGTAGCACAAAGCAAGGCAGGGCAAAGACATCAGTCACCTTAGTATGAATTGCTTCCGCAACCAGCCTAGGCCAGTACCCCAAAATACACCAGGATCACTTTTAGCATCTAGATGTACCTCATGTCACAGGGACAAGCCTTAAATATTTTCAAAGTGCAGATTTTAGTCTCACTGTTGCCTCAACTGTGTCCATGTAAATGGCAAATTATTTCCACTAGCACTGAAGAACAACTGAATTTACTGAGAATCATTCATACAAATCATTTGTCAGCCCTTTCAGGCAAAACCTTTTCCCCTGTTTCTCTACAGCAGGTAGCTTCACATCATCCTGACCTGTGACAAGGGCTTCAAGGCACAAGAGAAAGACAAAGAAAGAAATAGACGTATGTGTAGAGAGATCCATCTGCAAGTCAGGAAGGAAAGAAATTGTATGAAAAGAACCTGTGGCCTAGAGATGGTTCTCACATTCTTACTTACCAAACATTACAGCCTTGATGGATAATCCGCATCCTTTTATTCCTCCTCTTCCTCTTATACCCATGAGGAATTGCTATCCTTTGTTTTACTTGGAAGGAGAGTTGTGAGTGAGTGTGCAAAACCAGGTCTTTGTCTGTAAAGTGCTTTACCCATGTGCGGCAGTATTATACAGACAGCTTTTCATGACTGCATTTTTCTGTGGGAGCAGGATTCCTCTCCCCAGGCAGCATTGCCCACTAACACTATCATGAGAGAGCCCTTGGAGATCCTGGGCTGAAAACAAGTGTGACATATCATTCCATTCAGCTTAAAATGCAAGAGAACCTCTTCTCTCATCTTAATGAAACCGATCTACTTTTAGAAGCTACTTTTTTCCAGGCTCTTAAAAGATAACTCAAAACCTCTGATCACAATGTTTTTTGTTTTAAAGTTACCACAGTGTGCCAGGAAGTAAATACACACACACACACACACACACAAAAAAAAACCCTGCAAACAAGGTGTCATACCAAAATTAACTAAATTAACCATTTCTTTTAGACCTGAGGGGCCAAATGCAGCTTCATGAGTCAACCCAGGCAAACAATAAAAATCAATGAGTTTGACCCACAGCACTTTTCCATCTGCAACAAGCCACCTAGAGGTCATGCTCATAAAGATCTGGCCATTTGATTTGTGGCACAAGTGTATAAACAAGACAAGCACAAGAAAGTGGATGAAAGAACAAAGAGAATAAAGTTTTTTTGGGAATCTAATCAAAATCCAGGTAAGATGATTAACAGTGAAAGGAGTTCTTTTCTTAAGAAGGGCTAGTTCTCATTTCAAATAAGAAAGTGTAAGATTTCCTGCTGATTTATGACATTTTCAGATCAAAAAACAAATGAAGATGCATGCAATGGAGAGGGGCAATATTTCCTATCCTGTTTCACAAACACTATTCAAGAAAGGAAAGAAATTGTGCTCAAATCTATACTTCTGCACATCGCATTTGCTGACTTTCAAATACATATCGACTGAGCGAAAAAGTTTAGGGATTTGACATCCATCAGTGAGGAGAAAGCTCATCATCCACATTCCTTGCAGCTGCTGATACTCAGCCAACACACTCCTACTCTGATGTCAGTGGTCTAAATGAGGGCCGTACTCTGATAGCTTAATCCCAGGAAATCTCTGCTGAATTATTAGCTGAGGCTGACTTCCACAACAACTGCACTCTGCTCCTCATGCACAGAGAAGATTCCCCAGCTTCCGATTCCGGCAGGGAGGATTCTGCAGCCATTAAAACCTGGTCCAAAGTCCAAGCTTACCTTAAAGAGAGATTTGTTCACACATTGACCACCAGCATGAGCCCTTGGTGGAAGGAAAAGAATTACCCTGTCCCTCAAGTGATTAGAACTGCGTTATGTCCATAATTACTAACTGTAGCAAAATGCTATCGTGGCACTGAAGGAAGTTATTGAAAATATTAAAACAAAACAAAAAAAACACCTTCAAGTGTTCAGTACTTCATTTTCCCTTCTACTGGCTGGGAAGCTAGTCTGTTCAGCTTTCAGTCTCTTGTGGATATCATCATTTATATATAAATGGAAAATTTGTTCATGACTCATCTGCCTGTATTACCAAGTGGATTTTTTAGTCCAATAGCCAGACGTCCATTATGCTGGCTGCTAAATGATTTACATTGATTGAGTATGCACTGTGTGCAGCTCTTGCAAATTTTATATGCTGGCTGTACAGAGGATGAATACTTGCTGATTATGCTCCAAGTAGCAACGAACCCAATTACCTAAGCCACTAACTCCCAGTAAGGAAGCCAGAAATACAGCTGTTGCTTCACTACCTTAAAGAAACATTTACTGTTTGTAACCCAAATTACTGAAAATTGAAATAAATTAGAGATTTACATTAGTGAAGAACTGCGCTATGATTTGAAATCACCTCTTTTAATAATTGCGGTTAATTTCTTGTGCTCCAGATCTGCTATTCCAGAGCACGGCCTTACCCAAGACCCATGAAAGTGGACAAGAATCCAGGTACTTTAAGAATCTGAGTGACATGGAGCCACAAAAATGAAAAGTCTGGACAAAAAAAAAAAGATAAATTTGAGGACTGAAACATAAGGATATTTCTGGTTCTGAACTATCTTGTGGTAAAAAAAATGAATCCCATCATACATGGAACAAGTTGTATTGCAAGGAATAGGTCCTAGAAACTGTAGAGGAATCATTTCAAAAAAAAGATTTTGTCTGAAAGTAATGTGCAGAGGTCACCTATACCAAACACCTTTTCCACACAGTGCTAACTTCACATTAGATATTGAGATCCTGGGCCTTGTCTATCTGATTTTCAATACAGATTGACATACCATACCTTTGGCACTGGTTCCAGTGCTCTGCCACTCCCGCGGGTAAGATTTTTTTTTTTCCTTTCCATGTCCTACTGGAAGTTCCCTTGTTGCACCATGTCACTGCTGCCACGCATCCCTTCATTGTGTGCCTCCTGTGTCTGAGCATCCCGGCTCTGTACCGTGGTGCCAGAGAAGAGCCACCACCACCACAGGCTGCACATCCGAGTGATAACAGCAGTGGGCCTGTACAGATCCAAGACCAAAGAGAGATCAGCACCGCAGGAAGCAGCTGCAGTTCTACAGGTTAAGGGCAGCTAGAAATTTGGCCAAGAGCCTCCCTTAGCATGCTCACATGGCATTTCATGGCTCTGATGTGCTTTTAATTATCTGACATCACCACACAACTCTACATCCACAACGCTGCTGAGTCTGTGCTTAGTGGAAGGTCTTAAAGCTAGGACTGGAATAACAGGAAAATCCGAACAGGGTGAAGAACAAGCTTGTTCTTTTAAATTCACATGGCACCTGTCACACAAGCACTTCTTCCCTTCATGAGCAGCAGAGCAAGTCCCACGCTGTATCACAGAATTAAATAGAAAAGGCAAAAAACAACCAGTGTGATTGAAATCAGACCCCCCTCCTCACGTTCACAGAGCACATTCTGAAGACTGGTGGTTAATTGACTTCCCGTTCCAGCCAATAATGAAATTCCTGCCCACAAATGTAACTGCTGTTCTGGACTCTGAGGTATACACACAAGGTCATTTGTCATTAAAAACCATGAGGGGTAAAGCACTCCCTCAAACACAATACAAAGGTGCACAACTCCAGAGACTCAGTGTTGATCTAAGCTTAGCAATGCAATTGATCCAATAAACAAAGGCACAAGATGTCCCTTTTTTAAAATAAATTTTTGCAAGTGAGAATCCTTTGTCTTCCAAAACTGAGATAGTCATGGACAAGGCTTAACCATACCTTGGAACCTAGGATGGCTTCCTGCACCTGCCTGAGAGGTTTGGGAATGGCAAACAAAGCATATCATCAGAATACAAATTCCCCAGTTAGCAAAAGGCACTATACATCAGCTCCAACTGCACGGAATAAGGCAAAGCAGAAAGAAATTAATTACAAATCTCCTTTCCACAAATGCAATATGTGGATTTGGTCCTTTCTCTCTGGAAAGGCAGATAAGGTACTTCAGAGGATGATTCTGGAGGCCAGTTTATTCACTTACTCTATCTCCTGCTCTGTATCTTTCAGACTACTCTGTACAGTGGCTAGAAGGAAGGATATGAACAGATGGCTGTTTGCACTGATAACTGTGTCTGCTCCTAGTCAGATTAACTGATTAAATCCCAGTTAAAGATTACAGCCAGGTAAAATGATACAGACAGTGCTTCAGTCACTCTTCAGAGTCCAAGTAAAGAGATTAGGATGCATTCCTAACAACAACAACGAAGAAATTCAATACATGTTAGGTAGGGGTTGTGCAAAACACACTGCTAGAGCATACAGTATTTGTCCTTCTAAAATACAGTTTTAAAGGGTGTGAAATTTACAGGAACATGAAGGTCAAATGGAAGTTTAGAGGCATAAGGCACTCATGAGAGTCAAATGAACACTTACGGAGAGAAGGCATGCACGAGGATCAACAAACCCTAGGATATTTGACAGAATAGTATCAATGTCATGATTACTTTTTGCTTATCAAGGCTTTTGGCATCAAGCTATGCATGAGACATAGGGGCTGCAGCAGTATCCAATTTCATACCTCTTCTGATCATGCTGAGAAGAGATTCCCCTTCAGAAAAATTGGGAACATGCCAGAAGATTGGAGCATTGTGCTGATACTCACTAAAAAGGAGAATGCATTGACCTCAGTAATTATTACCCTCAGTGCATGGCAAGATAATGACAAATCCATGCAATGCAATCAATAAAGAATGAAAGGATGGGAACATAAGCAGGG